CTGGTATGGTTGAGAGAAGTGTTTAGCATATTAATGCATTTTTAACAAACTTATCATATTTAGATGTTAGGATTCTTAAGGGAAAGGCATTTTTTATGGTAGTTTTGAAGATGCTAGTAAGTAACTAAGTTTATTTAGCTATACACATATACAGTTACAAAGATTATCATACATAGCAACATATGTGTAGAGAACCTAGGATGACCCTAAAAAGTCAGACAAAATGACTGGAGATTTCTGGCAGGGAGTTCCAGATTTTGGGTCCTTTTATGCATAACGAGCTTTTACAAAGATAAAGCCAGACACGGGTATATTATAGAGATTTTTGTGTCTAGTATTATGCCTATGGATTCTGTTGCAACTATTAAGTGCTTCGGGTCAGGATTAACATTAGAATTCATTGTTTTGTGTATGTAGAACGTACAGTAGTTAGAGTGAATGTTTTGTACAGTAAGTAGATTTAGGTCTGTGAAGAGTGGGTTTACCTGGAGTGGGTTTTGGGGGTCAATGCCCCCGTGGCCCGGTCTGGTGGATCAGGGTCTGATCAACCAGGCTGTTACTGCTATTTGCACACAAGCTGACGTACGAAGCACAGCCCAGTTGGTCAGGTACTGACTTTAGGTGCATGTCCGGTGCCTTCTTGAAGACAGCCAGGGGTCTATTGGTAATCCCCCTTATGTATGCTAGGAGGCAATTGAACAGTCTTGGGCCCCGGACACTTACTGTGTTGTCTCTCGGTGTACTCATGGCGCCCCTGCTTTTCATCGGAGGAATGTTGCATCTCCTGCCGAGTCTTTTGCTTTCATGTGGAGTGATTTTCTTGTGCAGGTTTGGTACCAATCCCTCCAGGACCTTCCAGGTGTATATTATCATGTACATGCATCTCTCTCGCCTGCATTCAAGGGAATACAGATCAAGGACCTTCAACCGTTCCCAGTAGTTTAGGTGCCTCATCGCACTTATGTGTGCCTTGAAAGTTCTTTGTACACGTATACTCTCCAGGTCTGCAATGTCGCCAGCCTTGAAGGGGGCTGTTAGTGTACAGCAGTATTCCAGCCTGGAGAGCACAAGCAATTTGAAGAGAATCATGGGCTTGGCATCCCTAGTTTTGAAAGTTCTCATTATCTATCCAATCATTTTCCTAGCAGATGAGGTAGTTACATTGAAGGCGAGATCCTCTGATATTATCACTCCCAGGTCCTTCACATTACTTTTCTGCTCTATTGTATGGTTAGAATTTGTGGTATACCCTGACACATTTTTAATTTCTTCAAGTTTTCCATATCTGAGTAGTTGAAATTTCAACTCATTGAACTTCATATTTTGAGTGGCCCATTCGAAGATTTGGTTGATGTCCGCTTGGAGTCTCATGGTGTCTTCAATGGAGGTCACTGCCATGGTGATCCAGGTATCATCTGCAAAGGAAGACACGGAGCTATGGCAACAGACTGTGTGATTATTCGTACTGCCACCTTTAGTTGAATTTTTGGCTTGAGGTGATTTGCTGTTGTAGATCCCCAGGCACAAAGAGCATAGGTGAAGTAAGGGTAGATTAGTGTGTAGTATACTGTAAGTAGTGATGTTTGTGGTACATCATAGTGTATCTTGGAGAGGATGCCTATACGTAATTGTTTACATCAGTTGGATTTCTACCATTGTGTACTGAGTAACCCTTGCTATCTTGAGTAATGTTGGGAAAGTGCTGGTTTCTAGTGAGCTGCTCAAGTTTGAACAACTGGAACTTGAACTAAATTTCCTGATTTGGTTTTTAGTGAATTAATAATCAGGGTGACTTCAGTGGACTCAATTGGAGCAAGACAGAGGGACGCTGGGAAGTTTTCATCGAAGTAATCACTCGCTTGAGGATTAGCATTTGGAATTTTATCAGCAACACTTGATCCTATAGTAGAGATGAAATCGTAATAATTATATCTTTATTTCTACAGCCACATGTACAAGGTACACAGGTCTAGCTGACATCAATGACATACTACTATAAGAAAGCCGCTTGTTATGCAGAGCATTTCGGGGCATATTAGGTCAGTTATGTCCCAGGATGCAACCCACACCAGTCGACTAACATCCAGGTACCCTTTTTATTGATGGAACATAAACAACCAGTGTAAGGAAATGCACAAAATGTTTCTACCCTTGCTGGTAATCAAGCCTGGACCCTCAGCGTGGGCAGTGATAGTTTTTGCCACCAAGCCAATATGAAGTTCAACGATGAGAAATTTCAATTACTCAGATATGGTAAACATGAGGAAATTAAATCTTCATCAGAGTACAAAACAAATTCTGGCCACAAAATAGAGCGAAACACCAACGTCAAAGACCTGGGAGTGATTATGTCGGAGGATCTCACCTTCAAGGACCATAACATTGTATCAATCGCATCTGCTAGAAAAATGACAGGGTGGATAATGAGAACCTTCAAAACTAGGGAGGCCAAGCCCATGATGACACTCTTCAGGTCACTTGTTCTATCTAGGCTGGAATATTGCTGCACTCTAACAGCACCTTTCAAGGCAGGTGAAATTGCTGACCTAGAAAATGTACAGAGAACTTTCACGGCGCGCATAACGGAGATAAAAACACCTCAATTACTGGGAGCGCTTGAGGTTTCTAAACCTGTATTCCCTGGAACGCAGGAGGGAGAGATACATGATTATATACACCTGGAAAATCCTAGAGGGACTAGTACCTAACTTGCACACGAAAATCACTCACTACGAAAGCAAAAGACTTGGCAGACGATGCACCATCCCCCCAATGAAAAGCAGGGGTGTCACTAGCACGTTAAGAGACCATACAATAAGTGTCAGGGGCCCGAGACTGTTCAACTGCCTCCCAGCACACATAAGGGGGATTACCAACAGACCCCTGGCAGTCTTCAAGCTGGCACTGGACAAGCACCTAAAGTCAGTTCCTGATCAGCCGGGCTGTGGCTCGTACGTTGGCTTGTGTGCAGCCAGCAGCAACAGCCTGGTTGATCAGGGGCTGATCCACCAGGAGGCCTGGTCACAGACCGGGCCACGGGGGCGTTGACCCCCAAAACTCTCTCCAGGTAAACTCCAGGTAAGCAGGAGATGTGGTTCACTGGGTTAGCTAGGACAATATCTGAGAGATTGTTTCCCAAGTCCTTTTCATATCTCCTCTTGTTTCAGTGAATCAGTTATAATGATACAGTTGTTTGGACTTCCTTTTTAGTTTGGCAAGGACAAACGTACAGTTTTTACTAAGTTCTTTAGTTAATAACCCTGTCTATATTGTTCTTCATAGCGATGTTTATTATCTATGGTTCTAAGGATGATATTTGTTAGACATGGGCTGCCTAGTCTCTTAGTACTGATTTGCTTCGTTTTTATTGGAAAGTGTTTCTTGTAGAGAGCTTGCAGTTTTTGTACAAAATTTTCTATCCATTCATCAGCATTTGTGGCATTGGTAAATTCTGCAAGCTGGTCAAATGAACTGGGGTGTCTGCTGGGTCTTTTGCTTTCGTAGGGAGTGATTTGTGTGGTCAAGTTCGGTACTAGTCCCTCTAGGATTTTCCAGGTGTATATAATCATGTATCTCTCCTGCCTGCGTTCCAGGGAATACAGGTTCAGGAACCTCAAGCGCTCCCAGTAATTGAGGTGTTTTATCTCCGTTATGCGCGCCGTGAAGGTTCTCTGTACATTTTCTAGGTCAGCAATTTCACCTGCCTTGAAAGGTGCTGTTAGTGTGCAGCAATATTCCAGCCTAGATAGAACAAGTGACCTGAAGAGTTTCATCAACTAACACCCAAGATGCAACCTACACCAGTCCACTAACACCCAGGATGTGACCCACACCAGTCCACTAACACCCAGGATGTGACCCACACCAGTCCACTAACACCCAGGATGTGACCCACACCAGTCCACTAACACCCAGGATGTGACCCACACCAGTCCACTAACACCCAAGATGTGACCCACACCAGTCCACTAACACCCAAGATGTGACCCACACCAGTCCACTAACACCCAAGATGTGACCCACACCAGTTCACTAACACCAAGGATGTGACTCACACCAGTCCACTAACACCCAGGATGTGACCCACACCATTCCACTAACACCCAGGATGTGACCCACACCAGTCCACTAACACCCAGAATGTGACTCACACCAGTCCACTAACACTCAGGATGTGACCCTCACCAGTCCACTAACACCCAGGATGTGACCCACACCAGTCCACTAACACCCAGGATGTGACCCACACGAGTCCACTAACACCCAGGATGTGACCCACACCAGTCCACTAACATGTGACCCACACCAGTCCACTAACACCCAGGATGTGACTCACACCACTATTAGTTTTTCTTACATAAACTTGTACAGGACTATGAAAAGTGGAATGAGTTGGATGTAGCAACTCAATATAACAGCCTGATTGATCCACCATGAAGCCTGGTCACAGACCGGGCTGAGGGGGCGTTGACCCCCAAAACCCTCTCAAGGAATAGTTCAAAAATGTTTAATGTGAATGTATGTTATTATTGTAATTATAATTAAGTGCTAATAAACTCTGTGACTTAGGGACGTCAAATTATTCCCACCAAGATACTTTTAATTCATGGGGAAGCGCTAAACCCGTGGGTTTCAGAGTACATGGGGATAGGTAAGTATATTTAGGTATTCACAAATACAGATACATAGATTATCATACATAGCAGTATGTGTGTAGTTACATTATCATACATAGCAGTATGTGTGTAGTTACGTTATCATACATAGCAGTATGTGTGTAGTTACGTTATCATACATAGCAGTATGTGTGTAGTTACGTTATCATACATAGCAGCATATGTGTAGTTACGTTATCATACATAGTATGTGTGTAGAGAACCTAAGATAACACAGAAAAGTTAGACAAAGTGACTTATTTCCACTGTGGAGGTAAGAAATATAATTATGGGTAGGATGGTTTTAATTCCTTGGATCAAGAGCTGTTATGTCAGAGTACTTACCAGTACATATATCTTCATCTTGGACCTGTGGCTGGATGCTGGGACTAGAGCCGTAGCCTGAGTCTGCTGGGACTGTGGGGGTCGGCTGAGGGGTACTTGGGCACGAACCATACCCAGAATCAGCAGACTGACAAGCAGTCAACTTCTGCTCTTGATCCACTGACCCAGAGCCCTCCTTTGTACTTAATAGTTCCTGCTGATGTCCGCTAACTTGATCCTCTTTCTGGAGGACACAAGAAACTTCTGGGTCTTTGGTCTTCAGAGATGATAGAGTCTTAGGACTGGGAGACTTCTCACCAGTTGTGGGTCTTGGCTTCATTAACCTCTTTGGTCTCCCTTCTTTCTTTCTGTTTGTGAGGTCCTCGTCTGAGGAAGAGGAGGAAGATCTAGATCGAGGAACTCTTTGTTTCCTGATGGTGTGACCAGGAGGTTCCTCAACAATATTCTTATCTACCTGGCTGCTCTCTCCCACCTTTTTAACAAACTTTCTTATCTTAATCTCTGGGATTCTCTCTTCTATCCTCCCGATTTTCTCTTCAGTTGGTTTTATTACAGGTTTCTTTAAAACATTTCTAGCTTGTAGGAACTGGTTACCCTGATTCTGGGGAACTAAACGAGATATTTCCTGTTTCAAAATTATGTTACCAGCTGTAGTTACTATTGTACCATTTATCACATCTTGTTTCGTAGTGCCAACGGGAGTAATTAGGTTCTGTTTGACTGGTCTTTTCAGTATATTGCGAGCATTCAACAGCTCATTACTGATAACCTTCTGTGGTAGAGAGGGAGGCACTATTTGACGAGGTCTTTTGATGGCTCTCTTAGCCATTGATATATCTGTTAGAGTCACTGTGTCCTGCTTTATCTCAGTTTTCTTATCCCCTCGTTCGTCTCTCATCGTTTTGCTTTCTTGTATTTCATTAATATCCGCAGTTTTCTCACACCTTGGCACTCTTTCTTCCATTTCTATCCCGATCTTCAACTTATTCTTTTCCTGTTCTTCTCTTTCTTTCTCAATCTTTGACTCGTGTTTCTCCTTTGTTTCCTTTGTCTCTTTCTCAAGATTGGACTTCTCTTTGAATTCGCTTTCTTCTTTTAAAGCAATCTTCTTTCTTGCTTCTTCCTGAGCCTGGTGTATTCCTTCGTTTATTCTTGTAGGTATCCCTGACTGCTTGGTATACCTGAGAGTTCCTTTCTCCTCATTCTTCTTTGTTCTAGTCTCTGATAATATTCCAGTGCCTCTAACACTTGTTTTCTCTTTATCTTCTTGCTGGTTATCCTTTGTTTTCGTTTGTATACGTCCATTGTGGTATGTTCTCTCTTGTACTTGACCATCATGTTGTGTTCTCTCTTGTACTTGACCGTCATGTTGTGTTCTCTCTTGTACTTGACCGTCATGGTGTGTTTTCTCTTGTACTTGACCGTCATGGTGTGTTTTCTCTTGTACTTGACCGTCATGGTGTGTTTTCCCTTGCACTTGACCGTCAAGGTGTGTTCTCTCTTGTATTTGACCGTCAAGGTGTGTTCTCTCTTGTACTTGACCGTCATGGTGTGTTCTCTCTTGTACTTGACCGTCAAGGTGTGTTCTCTCTTGTATTTGACCGTCAAGGTGTGTTTTCTCTTGTACTTGACCGTCAAGGTGTGTTCTCTCTTGTACTTGACCGTCAAGGTGTGTTTTCTCTTGTACTTGACCGTCAAGGTGTGTTCTCTCTTGTACTTGACCGTCAAGGTGTGTTCTCTCTTGTACTTGACCGTCAAGGTGTGTTCTCTCTTGTACTTGACCGTCAAGGTGTGTTCTCTCTTGTACTTGACCGTCAAGGTGTGTTCTCTCTTGTACTTGACCGTCAAGGTGTGTTCTCTCTTGTACTTGACCGTCAAGGTGTGTTCTCTCTTGCTGGTGAGTCTTTTTCGACACTTGATCACCGTCGTGAGTGTTCAGTAAGTGCTCACGCCAGGGCACTTGGAGACAACTTTGCCGAGGGCTGTTGGCTTTAACATCCTCAGAAGTCTCCTTCTTGGTGTCTGTCTCCTCTTTGTTCTCCCTGGAGACAGGAAACACACTGGATATTTCGCTTTTAGTAATTCCTGTCGATATCCTCCCATTTTTCTCGCAGAATAAATATTCTTTAGTCCCAGCGCATCCTAATTCTTTTCCAGAATTTATTTTTTTCGTCTCACCTGCTGTCAAATTTAATCGTTGATCATAAGGTTGACCTGCGATATTTGGTGGTGTTTTGATGGGAATTCTTTTGTTTCCTTCATCAAAGCTGTCAGAAGATGGGAAGTGTGGAAATTCTGAAGTCTTATCCTCAGCACTCGACTGTTCCAGAAAAGTTGAGTGCACTTTAGAACAAGTCTGAGAGAGTGTCAGCTGAGGGGTCTCTGGTGGTCTCTCCAGGACCTTTGTTTGCATCGTAAATTTATTCTTTGTCTGGTGAATTTCTTTGCCAGTGGCACATTTTGTAAAGTCCTTCTCGTCATCTCTTGCTGTTTTGTGGACATTTTTATCTTCCAACTTTCTGTTTTCTGTTTGATTCATCGACGACTTATTTATATTATTTTCTTTTCCTTTCACTTTGTTTAGATCTTCTGAGGAAGCTAAACTTTGTGCCTTTTTAAATAGTTTTCCGCTAAGTATTTCTTCCGATTTTTCCTTATTATTCTTTTGTAATTCTTGTTCGTTTACCTTATTATCTGAGGGTTTGTTTTCTGACGAGGTTTGAACAGGTTTTACTGGAGGTTTTACTTCGTTCTTGCTAGTAAGTGTCAGGTTATTCAAGACAAGGTCAGGTAAGAGGAGTGAACTTGTACCTCTTTTGTTCAGTGTTGACCATGGTGATTTTTCTTGCATTTTGTCTTCCACGGTGTGGATGGAGCTAATTATGCCTGTGTGTTTTTTACTCTCTAGTTCCTTTCTATCTGCTGGTAGCAGTAATTTACCTTTTGTTATCTTGTCTGCAGATGTGTTGGTGGTGGCAAGCACCAAGTCTGCTGAAAGTAGAGATTTCTTATTCTGCTTGGCTGGTCTTCCAGTCCAACTTATGGGTAACGGTGGCTTTGTTATGTCTCTTACACTCTCTTTATCTTCAGTCTTCTCAGTTTCTCTTCTTTGTGTCTTGCCTGTCTCCCTGTTCTCCGTCATTCCCTTGTGCTTATCCAAATGATCATTAGCTGGAAAATTATTTCCAGAAGAATCATAAATATTGCTCATGGAGTCTTCGGCTACCACCTTGGTCGTCAACACTGATAAATTTACTTCTGTCTTCCCCGACTCGTTGGATATTCCAAATTCCTTTATGTTACCCTTTTCTTCTTTGCTTTTCCTCGATCTTCTTGAACCGGAAGATTCTTTCCCTGAGGATTTGTTCCTGTTCAGTCCTTTGACGGATTCTTGTTGCTTAACGAATCTCTTCAGCTGGCCAATAATGGCCTGACCTTTGCCTACGTCATTTGCAACATTCTCGCCCTCTTTGGTTGAGCTGGAAGAGCTCCCTGCATCTCCTTTTATCAGCTTCTCCATCTCCTCATCTGATTCTATATCAACATCAGGATGCAAGACGGCCGCATATATTGCATCCTTCACCTCCTCCCAACTTTCCAGTTCCTTCTTAATCTTTGCCGTTGTGGTCGCGCGGTGAAGAATCGTAGCAGCGTCAATATCCTTCTCTTCTTCGTCGGGGAAGTTTGGAACACTTCTGGTTTGAACATTCTCTTGAATTTTCTCAGGTGAAGACTTGGAGGCTTGTTGATCCTGCAGTGTGACATTATCGAGAGACTTTGGAACACACGGAGGTCGACCTGTTAGGGTTTTCTGAGCGGGAGTCTGATCATTCAGTCTGTCTTGATGGAGTCTTCTTCTGGTTGGTTGATAAGCGTACGAGTCCTGCTTTTCATTTACTTTATATTTTTCGATGAGTCTTTGCGCGATGGTATTAATAGTTTTATTCTTCACTATAAAGGGATCCTGGGGCTCATTCTTTTCTCTTTTGATTGTAAGACGAACTACTTGTCGATTCCTGGATATTAATCCCTCGTCCTCTCTCCCTCGGTCGGCTCTGAACCAATTGGCGTTTTTAGGTTTATCTGTCGTATTTATGTCTCTGGTATCTATCTCCTTTGGTCGGACATCCTTCGTTTTATTAACTCTCGCTAAGTACATGTTTGCATAGGTTGACTGGTTGCCACACCTTCCTACAAATTTGCGTTCTTCAGGTTGTTTATTTTCCACAGGGGTTACTGTCTTGGGTAAGTTAAGACTGTAGTCGGAATATTTAGGTCTGGAAGTTGTGTATAACGCCATTGCGCTCATGTGTTCCGGAGTGGTGAAATTTTTCTGAATATTGGCTGTGTTTCCGGTCAAGAAACTTGAGGTTGAAGTTGATTTCTGAATCCTGTTGTCCTCTGGAAGACTCTTGTATTGCGATATATTGTCGGTAGAGGTGATTTTTGTCAGCTGATAGCCACTTCTAGAAGTCGGTGTGAACGCAGGAGCTAGATAACTAGAAGCAGGAACATCTTCGGGAATTATGTACTTCGATCTAAAGTAGTTAGCGGGATTGTCTTCAGAGGAGTTGCCCTTACTTCGAGTGTCAGCTAAGGAGTACTTAAAAGAATCTAAAGTAGGAATATAGCTGCTGCTATTGCTTCTAGTGAAGGGACGGTTAACGTAGCCACTATGGCCATAAAAAGAAGACACAGGCATAGTGGCGAGTGTGTCCAGCGATACACAAGATACACTTAAGTTCTATTAATGTCAAAAAGATTAATAACAAGTCTCAGTCGACTACAAGTATTTCACATTCCTATATAACAAACAAACAAAAATTACTCACAAGTGAAAAAAAAGAGCTTCACCTGCACATTATTTTAACGCATAAAGATAAGTAATCCCACAGCACGTTAAATCACAGATAAAAAGTTAGAAAACGTTGGAGACTCTTAGAAGTGTGTGAGAAATGTGGAACAGTGTCAGAAGCCACAGGTGTTTTTATAACAGGTGTAAAGCACGTGTCTACCACCTGTTCCACACACTAAGTCTTTCTGTCAACTTTGCCTGTCTTCTCATAAGTTTGACTTCCTCCTCTCATATTTGACTTTTCAACTTTGTTCTTCTCTTAGTTTATTAACTACCTTCATAAACCACGAAGGAAACTTAAAAACCTTAAAAATGTCATTGGGTGATGCATTTAGGGTCACAAGTGAATCTTCTTCATTTCCAACACAATCACAGCACAGGTATCCCTCGCTGGGTGATGCAACTAGAATGACAGCACAGGTATCCCTCGCTGGGTGATGCAACTAGAATGACAGCACAGGTATCCCTCGCTGGGTGATGCAACTAGAATGACAGCACAGGTATCCCTCGCTGGGTGATGCAACTAGAATCACAGCACAGGTATCCCTCGCTGGGTGATGCAACTAGAATCACAGCACAGGTATCCCTCGCTGGGTGATGAAACTAGAATCACAGCACAGGTATCCCTCGCTGGGATACCTGTGCAAAAAGGTATACTTCACACGTAGACTGGTCTGAGAGCAGGATAAATAATACACTTGCGTCTCTAGCTACTGTTGCTGCTACAGTGTCTCTGCCCACACTGCCTCTCACTGCCTCTCTCACTTTCCAAACACTCCAGAAATCAGTGCCTCTTCTCCCCACACAATTCACTAATCTCTGTCACTACTTCCCAAACATTTCACTGTTTCCCCAGAGTCGACTGCTCACCCTCATTAATATTATTTTTCCGGCGTATTCACTGAGTTTTTCTGTCTTACATAAAATTTACTTCGGTAAATATTACGTTTGCTAATCCTATTATTCACATTTCTTTTAACAGAGTCGATTCTGGGAGCTCCTTGATTGAGCTCAGAGTACAGGGTGAACACAGAACACAGGGTGAACACAGAACACAGGGTGAACACAGAACAAAGAGAAAATAAAGCTGTATTGATGCTTGCAGTGTGTAGATCAGTGTTCTTAAGCTCGAAGAAAAATATCCAGCATAACGCAGAACTTTTAATTATTTTGTAATCACACATTAGTTCCCATTCTTATAGTGACCTGCATTTTGTCTTATCTTATAACGAACTTTGCATCATACAGTGAATTAGTTCTTTATATCTGGTTTAGTGGAAGCCAGAACACGTACACCTTCTCAACACCTCACTCGCGCACTGTATGGCCAACCCACGCCTGCCCATCAATACCCTGAGCACACGCCTGCCCACGCCAACCCCCCCCAACCCCCCAACATAGTAGGTAGGTCGGTGGAGGCCAAACAGTGGAGAGGGGGGAGAGGAGGTGGAGAGGGAGAGAGGGAGAGGGAGGGACAACTTGGCACTACTCGGCACTCTGAATGTTTTAGGTTGTTGGTGCCAGGCGATTAAAATAGTCCCAGGATGTGACAAGTGGGAGGATACCCGCTGGAGTGTGTTGTGTAGTGTGTTGTGTGTGTGTTGTGTGTGTGTTGTGTGTGTGTTGTGTGTGTGTTGTGTAGTGTGTGTTGTGTAGTGTGTGTTGTGTAGTGTGTGTTGTGTAGTGTGTTGCGTAGAGTGTGTTGTGTAGTGTGTGTTGTGTAGAGTGTGTTGTGTAGTGTGTGTTGTGTAGTGTGCGTTGTGTAGTGTGTTGCATAGAGTGTGTTGTGTAGTGTGCGTTGTGTAGTGTGCGTTGTGTAGTGTGTTGCGTAGAGTGTGTTGTGTAGTGTGTGTTGTGTAGAGTGTGTTGTGTAGTGTGTGTTGTGTAGTGTGCGTTGTGTAGTGTGTTGCATAGAGTGTGTTGTGTAGTGTGCGTTGTGTAGTGTGTTGCGTAGAGTGTGTTGTGTAGTGTGCGTTGTGTTAGTGTGTGTTGTGTAGTGTGTGTTGTGTAGTGTGTGTTGTGTAGTGTGTTGCGTAGAGTGTGTTGTGTAGTGTGCGTTGTGTAGTGTGTTGCGTAGAGTGTGTTGTGTAGTGTGTGTTGTGTAGTGTGTCTTGTGTAGTGTGCGTTGTGTAGTGTGTTGCGTAGAGTGTGTTGTGTAGTGTGTGTTGTGTAGTGTGCGTTGTGTAGTGTGTTGAGTAGAGTGTGTTGTGTAGTGTGTGTTGTGTAGTGTGTTGCGTAGAGTGTGTTGTGTAGTGTGCTTTGTGTAGTGGGGTTGCGTAGAGTGTTTTGTGTAGTGTGTGTTGTGTAGTGTGCGTTGTGTAGTGTGTTGTGTAGTGTGGGGTTGTGTAGTGTGCTTTTGTGTAGTGTGTTGCGTAGAGTGTGTTGTGTAGTGTGTGTTGTGTAAGTGTGTTGTGTAGAGTGTTTGTAGAGTGTGTTGTGTAGAGTGTTGTGTAGAGTGTGTTTTGTAGAGTGTGTGTAGTGTGTCTTGTGTAGTGGTGTCTTGTGTAGTGTGTCTTGGTAGTGTGTCTTGTGTAGTGTGTCTTGTGTAGTGGGGTTGTGTAGTGTGTCTTGTGTAGTGGGGTCTTGTGTAGTGTGTGTGTCTTGTGTAGTGTGTGTTGTCTTGTGTGTGTTTGTGTAGTGTGTGTGTCTTGTGTAGTGTGTGTGTTTGTGTAGTGTGTGTGTCTTGTGTAGTGTGTGTGTCTTGTGTAGTGTGTGTGTCTTGTGTAGTGTGTGTCCTTGTGTAGTGTGTGTGTCTTGTGTAGTGTGTCTTGTGTAGTGTGTCTTTTTGTAGTGTGTCTTGTGTAGTGTGTCTTGTGTAGTGTGTCTTGTGTAGTGTGTCTTGTGTAGTGTGTCTTGTGTAGTGTGTCTTGTGTAGTGTGTCTTGTGTAGTGTGTCTTGTGTTGTGTGTGTTGTGTAGTGTTGAGTGTCCAGATAACTTGCATTGTTTACAACAATGTGAACACCATCCTACAAGCCACAGTAGGCTCCAGGGCAGTATAAACACCATCCTACAAGCCACAGTAGGCTCCAGGGCAGTATAAACACCATCCTACAAGCCACAGTAGGATCCAGGGCAGTATAAACACCATCCTACAAGCCACAGTAGGCTCCAGGGCAGTATAAACACCATAATAGACCACATATGGACCAATATACTAGCCCCCCTTAAATCAGGGATAATCACAGATAGCACTACAGACCACTACCCTACCTTCCACCTGACAAACATTAGTAAACCACCACTTGAATACAACAAAGTCTCATTTAGACTCCATGACGAGGCCTCAGTAAGGAAGTTCACAGCTGACCTAGAGACTGTTGATTGGCCTACAGAATTCTCCAAGGCCAATGGTATTGATGACTGGGCAGACATTTTTCTTAACAAACTACTTAGACTATACAACAAACATTGTCCTATAAAAACAAAACAGATCACAAACAAACGGCTTGGTTGCCCCCTGGCTAACCAGCACCATTCTGAAATCCATTGACAAGAAACACCAATATGAAAAGCAATATAACAGGGCTTAATACACAAAGATATTCTTAAACACTATTCATCAGCTCTCACCAAAGTAATAAAAAAAAGCCAAAAACTATACTACTCCAGTAGAATCACAGACACTAGAGGAGATATAAAAAAGACCTGGAAAAACACTCTCAATTCTAGGGACCCACAAACTGAGAAAAACCAAGAATATTGTCCTAACTAAACCCCAATGAAACACCACTACATCCACTGACACAGCTAACAAGATAAACGACTTCTTCTCAAACATAGGATCTAATCTCGCCAGTAAAATCCCACATACCAATGCCCATGCCGGGGACTACCTAGATGGGAATTTCCCTAATTCCTTCTATCTTGCAAACCCAAATGGACCCACGGAAGTCACCGAAAAATTATATAGTCACTTAAAAATAACTCGGGGGGGGGGGGGGGAATCTGTCTCATGTCCCACCATTACTGTACAAGCGAGCGGCCCATGTCCTTTCGCATGCTATTTCATTACTCTTTAACAAGTCACTAGAGACTAGCACCTTCCCGAAACTACTCAAGATGGCAAGGGTTACACCAATACATAAAGGTGGTGACCCTACAGACTTAAACAACTATAGGCCAATATCTAACTTACCATTGCTATCCAAAATCTTTGAGAAACTCGTGCACAGGAGGCTGTATTCATTTATAACGGCTCAAAACATACTCAACCCCTGCCAATTTGGATTCAGGAAAAATAAAAGCACTAATGATGCAATCATAAAAATGCTAGATCTGCTTTACACAGCATTGGAAAATAAGGAATATCCACTAGGAATTTTTATTGACCTAAGAAAAGCTTTTGACACAGTAGACCACGACATCCTACTCCACAAACTTAATCATTACGGTATAAGAGGCCATGCGCTTGCTTATTTCAAATCTTACATTACTAATAGGTATCAGTATGTCACCATTAAAGACACAGCATCAGCAACACGGCCACTTGATACTGGAGTTCCGCAGGGAAGTGTCCTTGGTCCCCTGCTCTTCCTCATATACATCAATGACCTTCCAAACGTATCCCAACACCTGAAACCCATTCTCTTTGCTGACGACACGACTTATGTCATCTCTCACCCTAATCTTGCCACCCTCAACGCCACTGTGAATGAGGAGCTGATCAAAATATCGACTTGGATGACAGCCAATAAACTTACGCTTAACACTGACAAAACCTACTATATTATGTTTGGTAGCAGAGCAGGAGATGCACAAATTAACATTAAGATTGACAACACTCTAATTACCAGAAATAATGGGGGCAAATTCCTAGGCTTATACCTTGACAACAACCTGAATTTCAGCACCCATATCCAGCATATAACCAGAAAAGTATCCAAAACGGTTGGGATCCTCTCCAAGATACGATACTACGTGCCACAAAATGCCCTTCTCACACTATACCACTCACTTATTTATCCATACCTCACCTATGCTATTTGTGCTTGGGGATCAACTGCAGCAACACACCTAAAGCCAATAATAACCCAACAAAAAGCTGCAGTAAGAATAATCACTAAATCCCATCCCTGGCAACACACCCCCCCACTCTTCATAGACCTAAACTTACTCCCTGTTCAGTACATCCACACTTACTACTGTGCAATCTACATCTACAGGGCCTTAAACTCCAATATCAACCTTGACCTAAAACGCTTTCTTGATAGTTGTGACAGAACCCACAGGCATAACACCAGACACAAACATCTCTACGACATTCCCCGTGTCCGACTAAACCTTTACAAAAATTCAATGTATGTCAAAGGCCCTAAAATCTGGAATACTCTACCTGAGAACTCTAGAACTGCAGACACATTCATCACCTTCAAAACTACCATTAGAAAACATCTTATCTCCCTGATACACCCTGTCAACTAACTACACGAATACCACCTGGTGGTTCACACTTACACTCACTCACTCATTTGACCATAAACAGAAATATTAATCTCAATCTTAAAATAATGAATCCTATGATACTCCAATACTGAAACTATGTACTGTGCCAAAAAAAAGCATTCACATTGCTAAACTCACAAACTAGTATTTAGTCACTTAGCCTTAATACCAACTTACCTCATAATTTGTAATATTTTACAATTAAGAATAAAACTAAGTCTGCCCGAAATGCCTAGCCATGCTAAGCGTTCTAGTGGTACACTCTGTAATTATTATTTTACTACATGTAAACCACACAACCAAATTTCTGTAAACTCAGCATTGTAATCCTTATAGAGAATAAACTTTGAATTTGAATTTGAATCCTACAAGCCACATTAGGCTCCAGGGCAGTATAAACACCATCCTACAAGCCACAGTAGGCTCCAAGGCAGTATAAACACCATCCTACAAGCCACATTAGGCTCCAGGGCAGTATAAACACCATCCTACAAGCCACAGTAGGCTCCAGGGCAGTGTAAACACCATCCTACAAGCCACAGTAGGCTCCAGGGCAGTATAAACACCATCCTACAAGCCACAGTAGGCTCCAGGGCAGTATAAACATCCTACAAGCCACATTAGGCTCCAGGGCAGTATAAACACCATTCTACAAGCCACATTAGGCTCCAGGGCAGTATAAACACCACCCTACAAGCCACATTAGGCTCCAGGGCAGTATAAACACCATCCTACAAGAAACATTAGGCTCCAAGGCAGTATAAACACCATCCTACAAGCCACATTAGGCTCCAGGGCAGTATAAACACCATCCTACAAGCCACATTAGGCTCCAGGGCAGTATAAACACCATCCTACAAGCCACATTAGGCTCCAGGGCAGTATAAA